TAACCAGAAGGCTGGCGGTTCAAACCCACCAGCCACTCCTCAGAAGGAAGATTGGGCAATCTACTTCCATAGTGATACCGCCTCGGAAACCCAAGGAGGGGTCACTATGACTCAGGTCTGACTCGACCCCACATAACAACAACATTACTTAAATTTTAGTATGGTCAATAATCCTGAAACATTCCAAAAGCATTTTTACGTTGCCACTGAGCATTGTGCACTGACCTACTGATACATATTGTGGGAGTTTTGTCACTGAGACACTTACTTTTCCAGAAAGTTTTGCTACATCGGTAGGAATTTTGTGTTGTTTCATCAGAAACCAGCAGACCTTGTCAAGGCAAATGCAGAACAGAAGCTAAAGCATGACTGAATATACTGGGATGCATAAAGCACAGTTTCCCATGCAGAAACATTACTATTTTTAGTACTTTGTTTTTGGCCTGGTAAACATGGGGGCCATAAGTTCTATTTCACGTGATTCCCATCCAAATGGGGGGAAATGTATGGTTTGCTTACCAATGCATATTCATTGCAGAAGAGCTCTTACATTTTGATCTGTATTATTAAGAATTAAACCCTCGCTTGCAGACTAGCTTCTGGCTCTGGACCTTCACACCCACCTCGCACCACAATCTCTGTGCTTTCATGCGGCACTGGGCAGGGTCTCAGTATTCTTGACAGAGCTGCTACACCAGAATGGCTGGTAATTATGTATCCATCTACAGAGTGACTGTGCATTATATGAATAATTGTCATGGGAATATGTACTCCCATATTAACTTTGCTTTACCAGGATTTCCAAAGTGTTCATGACACCCCAGTGCTCCTCATATGAGGGAAAGATGAGCAAGGTAAGTCAGGGAAGAAACCAAATGCAGTTAAAATTTGTCTTAACCAATTTTGTCAAAAGTATTCAAATTTTACAAATCGTGATAATGAAATGTACTTCTTAATCCCTGAAGTTTATGTTCATTTTAGCTTTATGCCAAAATACAAGGTCAATGACAGCACAGACTTATTTGTTTTGCTCTCTCTTGTCTCCCCTGGATTATGACAGTGCTTGGTACACAGTGGCACTTGACGAAGATTTTGTGAATGTTTTGTGGACTGAATTTATTTATGTTTCGAACTCTTAAGAAAATTCTAGTGTTGAATCATTCTTAAGTTCATGAAATAAATGGCACTTGGTCAGGATATATATTTCCAGGATCAACTCTACTTGGCCATGCTGTATTGCACTATTGAAAACTTAAATACCATCAGTGATTTAAATTGACACATTTATCATAGAATGTTTTTCCAAATGTACTTAGGCCTAATTCTGTACCTTCTGTAATTATTCCATTGGTCTATCAGTTTATTCATATGCATACACAAATTATCTAGTTTTTATAGCATGTGATCATTGCAGAGTCTTTACGGAATATTTTACTATCTGCTGGATTAGCACCAACCACATCACTGACCTTCTTACTCAGCTTTTTCCCTGAATATTCTTGCTTGTGTTTTGCTATAAACGTATAAATGAACTTACCTACCTCCAGAAGGTGGGGGATGGGGGATGTTATCCTACCCAAAGATACAGGCTGTTTAACATTTGTTAAAATCTACATTTTCTTTGGTTTTTGCTTTGTTTTGTTTTCAAGAGTATTTTAAAGCTTTCCTCATATGGATTTTTACATTTCTTGTTAAGAACATTCCTAAGTATGTTGCTGTTATAATTAATGTCTTATCTTCCATTATATTTTCTAACTGGTGTATCTATATCCATAGTAGTTTCATAATTTTTTTCTGCATTGTTTCTCATTATAGGAAAATGCTGGCTTTTAAACTGAGGTATATAGACACACACATACACACACATACACATTAGGATATATATGGATTTTGCTATCCATTTGTTTCTATCTTTTTTAAAATTGAAAATGAGTTTGAATTTGTAAAAAGCCTTTTAACATCATTCTTCTTAGCAAAACAATTAATATGGTGTATTATATTGATGATTTTCCTAAGTTAACCTTGCTTAGTTATGATGTACTATTTTTGTAAATAAGGTTGAATTTTCTTTGCTAATCTTTCATTAGGGTTTCTGAATTCATATTTCTGTTTATTTTAAACTTTTTCCGTATGATGCCAAATCAAATTTATATATTTGTGATACTTCCTTCATAGGGACAATTTGGAACTTTTCTTCCTTTGTCTATGCTCTGGGACAGTCCAGGATGTATTGGGATAATTTTGCATTTCAAGGCTTGGTATAATTCTGAAGGGAGCTATTTCAGCCAAGGGCTTTTACTGGGAAGAGGAAGCTTTTCCTTAAATTTCTCTATTTCTTCCACGGAAGTTGGTCAATTTAAACCATCTATATCTAATAAGGCTAGTTTTGGTAAATTATCGTTTTCCTAAAAAGTAAAACTTTCCATTTAAAATTTATTTTCACAGAGTTGAATATGTCTTATGATTTCCTGAATTATCTCTTTCAATGTGCATTTCCCCTTGTCATTTCTTGTTTTGTGTATTTTTATTCTCCTTTTAGATCTTGATTAGTTGATACTGATTTTATTTCTATTTGTAAGCTTTTTTCTAAAAAAATAGATTTTTAAACTATAAAATTAGTTTTAGTGTTTTCTGATTTGGGGCTCATTAATGTCTTTTTTTATTTTTTCAGTCCATTCCTTATGCCTACTCCTAGTTCATGTTTTCCATTTTTCAAATTGGACCCTTATATATTTAGAAAATTCTTCTTTATTTATGAGTATTTAGAACTATGACTTTTTCTCTGGCATAGCTCTGATAGAAGCAAATAGACTCAGATACTTAGTCTTAGTATAATCCCTTTTTCTAGAAATACTACAGTTTGACCTGTACATCTCCTTTCACCCTTTCAATGGGAAGTGGAAACATGCCTGGTGCCTGCCTTGGCCTATGGAGAGCAGCCAGTATTACTGCTTACACCTGTGGCTGCTCTGAGTGTCAAAGGCCACAGAGCCCTCTTCCCATATCTGGTTGCACCAATTCCTTTTCCAGTGGTCTTGGCATCCATGTACATAGACACACCTGCTGTCTGTATAAGGAAACTTTGGCTCTGGAGTAGAAAGACAAATGCAAGAATTCTGGCACTGTTGCTTTGTAAATATTTAATGATCTTACTAAAATCTCAGATGTGCTTGGCACTCAGTGAAAACTTTTGCTTTCCTTTACCTCATCCCTGGGCATCCCAATACTTTATACCAGTGAGCTCCAGCCTCTGCCTTCCTGAATGTGCCCCTGATTGCCCATTCTTTCTTCTTTTGCTCAATCCCTTTCCCAACTCAGCATCCAGGGTCTCACTCTCTCTCAGCAGAGAGATGGCTAGAAAGTACAAGGCAACTTGAATAGGTTGAAGCTGTGCAGGGACAGGGCATGTGGCAGTGAGGAAGGCCCAGAGAAGAGTGGGTTGGCCCTTCACACCATTGACAGGTAGACTAGTGTGATGATGTGGATACCAAAATTGGCTCCCAGAGCAGAGGAGAAGTCAGGGTTTGGCTGAGGAGGCTGGGGTGTCTGGTTTATATTAGAATGGATCCAATGTATGAAATAAGAGACTCTGGCATAAACTGCAGGATACATGGGGTACGAGCAACCACGGCCCCAGCTTACTACTCCAATTTGCCACCAGACGTGGTTGGATTCGCAGACCAGTGGGCCCCCAGAGTCACCCTGGGGGGAAAAGAAAGAGTTTTCTCCTTACTGAGAGTGCTCAGCCTGCCTGCCTCCTGCACTTGCCCCTCAGCCCAAAAAGTATGAGTTATCCCTGCCTGTGGAAGATATTATGGGGGAAGGAGGTAACGGTTCCCCTTGCCACTCACACAGCCCTACCTCACTGGCTGCAAATATGGACTCCAGAGCTCTAGTGGGGCTCTCCCTGCTTGCAGGCAGGCAGTATTTACTGCTATCAACTCCAGGACAAGAGTGAACCATGGAGGGGGTCTCAGCAGGGAAGGAGTGCCCACAGCTGCAGGTCTGAGGCCACAGGAGTCAGCAAGCAGCAGGCCATGGTCACTGGATAGACATGGAGTCCTAGCCTTGTGTGGCCCACATGGGGGTCTGTGGAATGCTAGGCACCCTGACTAGGGCCTCTGCCTTGCCTGAACACATTCCATACCTGCAGTCTAGTGCTTGGCATGATCACAGTATGAAAAATGTATACCTGGAGCCCCTTAGGGCCAATGCCTCTGAGATCTCTGTGATCTGTGCCACACTCCCAGTAAAAACGTTCTCATGATCAAACCAATTAAAACATCTGAAAATTACTTGCTTCAACCTCCCACTTCTGCCAACAATTCCCAATGTGGAACTCACCCTACATACGGTCTTCGCATCATAAATGTTCCCGGCACACAGCATGTCAGGGTGAATGGCATATGGGCTTCCATAGAGCAGCCGACACAGGGTCATTGAAATCAGAGGAAACTGAGCCTCCTGCAACATTGTTGCAGCCTGACCTGTTGGGAAAGGAGTTCAAGGGCAGTAAAAGGCTTCTCTTGTGGCTTCTTTCCCAGTAGACTAAGAAGGGGTGAGCATCATACAAAGAAGCCTCAACTGTGACACTCAGTGGAGTTTATAGCAGCCTTGGCAATATGCACACACAGGCTTCATAGTGCATATGAGCTCATTCTTGGGGTTCTCCTTCTGGTCACTCCCCTCCATACCACTTCCCTGCCCTGCACATGGAAGTCAGGCATAGACATGTGACTCACTATGGTCGATGAAATGCAAACATAAATGTCACATAACACTTTCAAAGAGAAACTGTAAAAGCCAGTGCAAATTTCACCCCATTCTGTTTCTACTTTTGCACTCATATTGAAATGACATCTCCTCACCATGAATCCCTGAATGACCATGAGGAGTTGACACAGTGTGTACAAGAATGAAGCTCCAAGACTTTATGATTGTTTCTCACCACTGCATATCTTCATCTACCTGATGAATATAGAAATTGGTCTCAAAAGCTTTATGCTTACACAACAAGAGTCAAAGTAGGTCACATGCCTCACTGGTGAGGAACTGTTTTCACATAAATGGTTTATGACCTGATCTATGTATTAAAATGTTGCTGTATTTGCTAAAGATGTACCTTCAATGTCTTGGGAATCAGTCCATAGACTGAATGAATTTATATCTCTAGGGGAAGAGAATGGAAAACAGAATGCTAGTAGTGTTTTCTGGTTGCTGCTGACAAGCTTAGCAAGGTAATATCAGAGGAAGAGGAAGCCACAAAATCATTAGTTGGTTTGCTAACAGGAATGAAGACAACAGAATACACAAACTTGGAGTCTTCTAGTGTTGGAAGAGGCAACTTGTTCTCAACCTAGAAAAATAGAGTTAAGAAATGCTTTGAACTATAAAGCCAGTTAAAGCTCAGCCTTGAGAACTTCTGCTTCTGGCCATTAAAGTATAAAATGGTGTAACCATTTTGGAAAATTATTTTCAATTTCTCATAACTTCATGACCAAGCAATGCCACTCTAATGAATACACCCAAGAGAAATGAAAGTGCATATGCACAAAAAGAGTTCTAAAAGAATACTCCTAGGAGCTTTATTCACAATAGCCAAAAACTGAAACAACCCAGTGTCAAGCAAAGGAAAAACAGATAAATGAATTTTGCTATATTCATGCTCCTAAACAATAACTAATGATTAAGTGCTCAGCTACTAACCAAGAGGTTGGCAGTTTGATCCCACCCAGTGGCTCCTGGAAACAAAGACCCAATGATCTGTTTCTAAAAGGTCACAACCACAAAAACTTACAGAGTGCTGTTCTGTTCTGTAACACATGGCAGTTGCTATGAGTCTGAGTTGACTAGAGACTAATTTGTTAGTGACAAATACAAAAATATGAATAAATTTTACAGATGATAGTGAGAAAAGGATACATGACAGAAAGGAGCACATATTATATTATGTTTTCCAAATACGTTAAGTTCAAAAGCATAAAACTTATCCACAGGGATAGATAGCAGAACAACAGTTGCCTTGGGAGAAAAGGCTTGACTGCAAACAGTAAGGGAAGTTCTGAAATGATGGAGATATTTTACATTTTGATTTGAGTTTTGCTTTCATGGGTATTTATAGAAAAAAAAAGTTACAAAAAATAAAAAAAGCCAGAGAGGCTAAAACAATAGTCAATAAAGAATCAAGTGAGTGAGATACAGAACAGTCTTATGAGCTATTTTGTTTGTTTTCTCTTTTCAGAAATTGCTAGTTGTGAAATAATGGAAGCAAGAATATTAAAGAAGTAAATACTGTTGTGGAATAGGCCCCCATGTCATGTTATCTAAGGGACATATAGAAAATAGGGGACACTTTTCAGTTAATTTTGGTTTCTTCAACTGGGCTACCACTGTAAAACTGGTTTATGTGGCTCCAGAATTTATTTGAATCACTGTTGATTTATGCACTCTGGAGTCATATTGTTGTATTCTGGATAGATATATTATTTAATTCTGCCAAGAGATGGTCATAACTTTCTGGGTGTATCTTGTATAAAGGTATGAGGTTATTCCTAGTGTGAATTTCCAGGGTCTCAAGCAGGAACAAAAAATACAAAGGCTGATCCTAGTTAGGAAAGAGTGTAGTCTTCTACTCTCTTATTTAAGGACAGAGTTTCCCAATCTATGGGCCTTATTTCCTGAGGGGCAATAAATTCTACGTAAAGAGTCCATGTATATACAATAAATAGTCTGTAAAAGATTTATTGTAAGGAATTCTATCAGATGAGGGGAGGCAACAGGTCGGGCTAGGGCAAGACCACTAAGGTATACAAGTTATTGCCAATATCCTAATTTCCCTCTGTTGAGGAAGTACATATTAAATGATTACAAGCAAATAAACAATAAATAAAAGAATACCATGTACACAATGAAGAATGTATTCTTCACATCAAGAATTAGGATGAATCCAATTCCGTGCCCCTGAGGATCGAAGAGAGAGAGATAGAGAGAGTAAGAGGGACAGACAGATAGATAGACACACATGAAATGATACTGGATGTCTGAGAAGGGAGAGAAGGCTGAGAGGAATTCAGGAAATGTTTCCTGAAAGGAGAGTACCTTGAAGAATGGATATGATCTGGGTTTACAGAGATGGTGGCCATCCACTGTCACACACACTCCTCAGAGAGGTTGGGGATGATGGACACACTTAAGGATTAAACTGGGGAAGAATGCTGCTTCTAGGAGAAGGGTGGTCCTGGTTTAGGTGAACAGTATTTTGGACTTCCATTAATCTTTTCTTAGATGTGAATAAAAGTGAAAATCTTTCACAGTACAGCCAACGCCAACAGAAACGATCATCACACATGAAAATAAGCTCAGTCCAGACCAGAAGAACTGCAGTTTAAAACACTAAGTCATAAATTTATGAAGCTGAGTAAATACCTACTGTTGTATACATAAGGAGCCATGGTGGAGCAGTGCTTAAAGTGCTCAGCTGCAAAACAAAAAGTCAGCAGCGTGAACACACTGGTCTTCTGTGGGAGAAAGATGAAGTAGTCTGCTTCTGTAAAGATTATAGTCTTGGAAACCCTATGGGGCAGTTCTACTTTGTCCTGTAGGGCCACTAAAAGTCTGAATCAACTTGAAAGCAGTGAGTTTGGTTGGGTTTGAGTTGTATACATAGGATTTTAAAGTTCACTGTAATGAAGCACTATTATGGCAATAGATAACTGATAACAGAAAGTGGTACCTAGAAATTGGAGGCTTCCATAAAAATAACATAAAATATGTGGCAATGGTTTGGGGACCTGGTAGATAGGGAAAAGGTTACTATAATGGAATCTGGAAAGATTAAAATAAAGCTGTTATAGGAGGCAAGAAAAATGAGGACTTACATTATGAAATGGCAAAACTGCTACCTACAGTAACTTTGAAGACATAAAATGTACTTGTTGTTGTTGTTGTTGTTTGCCGTCGAGTCGGCCCCGACTCATAGCGACCCCTCCTTGGGTTTCCGAGGCAATATCACTACGGAAGTAGGATTGCCCAACCTTCCTTCCGAGGAGTGGCTGGTGGGTTTGAACCGCCAGCCTTCTGGTTAGCAGTCAAGTGCCTTAGGCAC